AGTATCTGAAAGTGACATTAATTGAGAATCATTTTATTGCATTTTATTAATCAAAAAGTTGTTCAACTTCCTCAATGGTATAAATTTTGTCATTAATGTTAGTATGATATATATGCCACAAATTTGAATTAGAGAAATGTATTTTTTCAAAATACTACAAAGAGATGATTTTGAGGAAAATATTTTAGATTATTTGCTAAGATATAAGTTTAGTTTATGAAATAATATAATTCTACATGACTTAGTATTTAGAAATTTATTTATTTCAAATGGCAGGCGTTTTGATAGTTATCATTAGCCATTTAGCTGACTACGGGCTTCACAGAAAGAAGGAACATCAAAGTGTTACTTCTGGGGCTGTTTTGCCCTAGTCTCGTCAGCCCACGTAGGTGTTTTCTTTTGTCATTTGCTTCCTAGTTCTACCAACGCCCTGTTCACTCCACATTAAATACATATCTTTATTTTTCGGGACATGTCTTAAATCTACTTAACACAGTTGCTATGTTACGGCTCAGCTCGACGATCTCAGCCCCGCAATGCTTATTTCATTCCCTCTCATTCGTCTTTTGATCTAACTTCAACCGATGGTACTCTAACCAGGAATAATTGTTGCCCACTTCTCTCCACCGGCAATGATTTTTGTGGTGGGGTTTAATACAGGCCAACAGAGGTACCCAGGGTTCTAAAAAATGAGTTTCTATTCCAACAGTAGCAAATTTAAGACAGCATTCTCGATCCGCCTCTGGTAACAAGTTCTTGAACAGTACTTACCTCATGCTTGCCATCTTTCCACTGTTTCCAATCGTTGAAGAGGATGAAGGAGGATGGCATGTAGACGTTGGTAAAAGCGGAAAAGCCAATGCTCTCGGAAAATAGGCGCTTCCAGCTGATTGGTTCCGGAGAATTTGCATAGTCGCAGCAAATTAACATAGCTCGGATCACGTGAGCATAGAAACCAGCATAGACCAAGGAAGTAGTCTCAATATATTCTCTGAAGTCCTGGTTGTGAAATTCGGTTTAAAAATGTGCAAAAATGGTGAACAAGCAATTAACCTAGTTTATTGCCAAAATGAAGCTTAAAATAAAGTGATAGGTCGTATACTTTGCTGGGAAATACATTTCGTCTTAAGTATAAAATTGCAGCAACAACCAAAAGACAATGCATTTCGAGATGGATGACGTTGGCGTTTTCCATGACCTTGACAAAATAACTCTAATCGTAAATTTTCCTTTATTGCTTATTAAGCAATAAATTAAAACAAGATTAGATTGGCAATCTATGGAAATATCAGAAGCAAGCTTCCATTTTCAAGAGACAACCACCAATAACTGACTTAAATCTATTAATTTCAGTTACTTCTCAAATGTGGACCTACTAATTCATATCCAAGTCTGATAGCAAAGCTCAAAAAACGATAGGTCAGCCTTGAAAGATGAACATACCGGAACTATTTTGAGTAAATAGCAAGCATACCAAAAATATTCAACTTGACGTCCAAACGATCTTCAATATAATTGTTCCGTTAGTGATAATAAATCGGGACATTAGCTTCACTGTTGTCTTTTCAGATATGTGGAAAAACGGGGACGTTAAATGGATTCTAGCTTCTGGAAAGGATGATTTCGCTTGCTTATGTCCAAAAGTGCAATTGAAAATATGAGTATTACATTAATCGCAGTATTTATTAGGCTTTTTATTAATCGTGTGATTTTAATAGGGAAGAGACAATAATAACAATTGATTTAAGCACCATCCAAATTTAATTTATCGAATAATTAGCTAATAATCAATCCTTATTTTATTATTAGGGTTATTTCTGGGGCAAATAATAATGCCATTAAATTTATTCATAGATTTATTTGCTAACTCACCAGCCACATAATTTTGGACAAAATATCTGAGACAAACACATATAACATCATGCCGATGAATGGGGGCAGAAGTTGGTTTCCTCGCAAATACTTGCCAATAATTGCCATACCAGCCATCATTGTAATTATCACTCCAATCAGTGTCACTCCATACAAAGATATCATTATCACGATGGATAGAAAGTCCACAACTTCCCTTTTCTAAAACGGCGTTAATGTATTTCAATTTTTCAATTACAAATGGCACATTTGAAACATTGATAATTAAGCATAGCAGAGAGTAGACCAAAAGGTAAGGTACTACGCTCAACTTCTTCACAATTTCTGAGTAATTTGTTCCTTGAGGATTCTAATAAAATGCAATGTACACAACCTCGAAACTAACATAAAATCCCAAGAGGATGCTTTTAACTTTATTTGATGGTCGGCCTTTATATGGTCGTTTTTCTATAAGGAATCAATAAGTTATCAGATTGTCAGCTTTGCTTACCTAATTCCTTGCAGTAGAGTTGATATCCAATAATGAAGATGACATAGAAAGCGGCATAGATGAAAAGCTCAATTCGGCTGACTTTATTCATCAGGTCAATGAAAGAAGTGCTGTAGTTGTGGCAGCAGTGACAGGAGGCGGGAGAGACTGT